ATATTCCTGAATTCCCTGTACTGTCTGCTGACCCTCTTGCTGTAAACTGAGCAGATTCCACCCACTGCTGCCTCAGGGTAAATAAAGTATCACTCCACTAAGATTTACACAGAACCACTAAGTAGGTAGCAAGTCTGTCTTTTACCAGGCTTTCCAAAAATACCATAGTCCTCCCTGCCTTTCACTTAGGGAAGAAGAACCAAATGGGACTTTTTAAGGGTATATAAGGATCTATTTAAGGGAAGACTCAGGAGCTCCAAGTTAAGAGCACTGCTTTCCAATCTGACTGTCTGATGCTCTGTGCCACATATTAGACTGAGCAAATGACATCCCTCTCTGGACCTCAGCTTTCTCACCTTGGAAACTGGAATCAGACTGGCTTTGAGACTCAAATTAGATAACAGCTGTAAAGCCTTGCACAAGCTGAGCACTCTATAAATGTCACTTGTGTTATCATTATTAGCATTTCTCTGATGTCTACATTCTTGAAAGTCACTAAGAGTAGTATAGGACCAGTCAAATTAATGCCACAGAAGTTAAACGAGGGACCGTCCAATCCTCATGGCACAGCAACACAGGAAATCACCAACTCTCACAAGTGTGGAGGCCACGAAGGGTTCAGCTGCCTAATGAGAGCAATGTAGCTAGTATCTCAGGTTCTGACTCTGAGTGTGCTAACCTTATTTTTTCACAAAATCTAAGACCTCTACAAATATTTTAAAAATTTTGAAAAAATAATGAAGTTAGAGGATTTTGCCATTTACAAGATTTACAAAAAGACATGAAACTAGGAAATAAAAGGGGGACTAGTTGGGAGGAGGAAGGATATTAGTGGGAAGGGAATGAAGAGGGAAATGGGGATGAGTATGACAAAAACACACTGTATAATATCTGAAAATACCATAAGGAAACTCATTATTATATATAACCAATACAGGCTAATGAAGTTTTTTAATTACTGTACTGATGTAGCAATCAAAACAGTCAGCTACTTGCATATTGGAAGACATGTAGATCAATAGAAACAGATCTGTCTAGATTCAAGTTCATGCATTTATGACAAGCTGGTTTTTTATGACGATAACTCAACGGAGAAAATATTCCTTTAATAGACAAGTTTCCACATGTAAGAAATGAATTTACAATGTTTCTCTATATTACATGCAGAAATTAGCTCAAGTGATTCATAAGCCTAGGTATAAGAGATAAAACTATAAAATCCTTCATTAACATTGAGCAAGGCAATAATTTCTTAAGCATGACACAAAATTACAATTGTCAAAAGGAAAAATAGACTAACTCAAAATTTAAAACTTTTGTGCTTTAAATTATATTAACAAAATAGAATGTAGATGTTTATAGACTGTATTATCTGACATGGGACTAGTTCCCAGAATACATAAAGAACTCTAATAATTTGATAATGGTGAATAAATTAATACTTTTTAAACAGGTGAAGGATTTGGCTAGGCATTCTTCTAAAGACATACAAATGGCCAATAAGCATAAGAATAGACGTTCAACATCATCAGTTATTAAGAAATGCAAATTAAAACAACAATGAACTATCACTTCATATCAGTAGGACAGTAAAGCTTAAAACACAGGTGATATGTGTTAGTGAAGACATAGAGAAGTGGTAACTATATACAGCTGGCTAGAATATAAAAGTGTACCCACTCTGTGAAATAATATAGAAATTCTTAAAAATGTCAAACACAAGCCTAATATATGACCCATCAATCCTACTCTTAGACATATACATGAAAATGTAAACACACAGCCAAATAAAAGTCATGCACAAAAGTTCATAGCATTACTATTTTTATAATTGCCAAAAATGGAGACCACTCAAATACCCATCAACAGATGAATGGATAAACAAAATGAATTAAATTCCAAACATGGGACATAATTTGGCAATAAAATTCAGTGAGATACTGATATATGCTATGACACAGGTCAACTTTTATTTTAAAAAAGTACTTTTCCAAGTAAAGGAAGCTAAACGTCATAGACTTAATGATTCCACATACATGAGAGTTCAGAAGAGCAGGTCTACAGACACAGAAAGAACACTAGTTGTTGTCCATAGCTTGACCACAACTGGGTTATAAGACTTTCTTTTAATGTTTATTCAAGTTTTTGTTTTCTTTTGTTTTACAGTGCCGGACAGTAAACAAGGGATCTTGTGTGTATTAGGCAAGTGTCCACCACTGAGCTACATCTGCTACTAGGTATAAGAGTTCTACTTGGGGTAATACAAATGTTTTGAACTTACAGGGACAGCTGCACCAGTCTGTGACTGTATTGAAAACTACTGACCTTGAAGTAGGTGAGATGTATGCTTCGTTTTGATAATTTTTATTTTTAATTAATTAATCTATTTTTATTTTATGTATACGAGTGTTTTGCCTACATGCATGGTGCACCTGGGTGTGCCATACCTGAAGAGGTCAGAAGAGGGCATCAGATACCTTGGAACTGGAGTTGCAGATGGTTGTTGGCCATTATGTGCTTGCTAGGAACCAAACCCAAATCCTCTGCAAGAGAAGCCAGTGCTCTTAACCACTGAGCCATCTCTCCAGGCCCTGATATTTGGCATTTTTGAATCAGGATTTCATGGAGCTCAGGCTGGTCTCAAGCTCACTGTGTAGCTAAGGAGGATAACCTTGGACTCCTAATCCTCCTCCCTCATCCAGGGATTACAAATATGTGTCATCATGCCTGGCTCAAAAATGATGTATGTTAAAGTATGAGAATTAAATATCAATACATTTTTAATGGACATGAGGTCTTTAAAATTAGAGGGAAAAAAAGTAATGGACCTTGGAGACTAAACAGATCTGGAACTGAAAACTGGCTCCCTCACAAGTAGCTATGTTGTCTTAGAGAGAGCTTCTTGTACCACTCTGAACCTCAGTAAAAGGCAGTTTTAGTCATTCTACAGGAAGGTATGTAAGGAGAGAAGAGGGAGTCTGAGGGAGACAGTGTATGGGGAGTCCAGGTGGGGCCTCTGGGGGCAACCAAGACAAGGTAGATTTTGGTTCTTAGTTCCAGTCTGCTCCCCCAAAAGAGGTCCCTTTCACAACTATACCATATTTGATGGTCCCCCAAAGCATCTTCTACAGTGGGTACCAATCACAACTCTTCCCCCAAGCAAGAGCAGAATCCTTCCCAACAGATATCAGTGGAGCAATATGTATTCCCTCAGTATCGCCCATCAACTATAAGATTTATAGCAATGAAAGAAGCATTGACAATATCACCAGAACTGAAAGAACACAAGAAGGATCCTGACAATCAAGTACTGGGCCATGTTTATCCTAAACTATTCATTGAAAAGTTCATTTCCTCCCATTGCCCATAAGGCATTAGATGCTCTGAGCTTTGCATTCTCAACTGTGTAGTGAAAATAGATGCTAAAACATAAACACATGTATCATTCATAATGCAGTCAGATGTTTTTTAATTATTCATATTTCCTGAAAGTTATTTGACCTACCATGCATATATATCCAAGCAATATTTATATTAGAACCATAGCCCCAGTGTGCGCATTCCAGGTCCTTGGCATTCCCATCTATGGAATTAAATTTAAATGAGTCACTGGTCAATAAAAGTTATATGTGATTTCCATAAAATTATCCATCACATATTGCTCTAGGGTGGAGAAAGGTTGCATAATGTTGCCAAAGCTACAGAACACAGAACGCTTGCTTTCTGATGAGGGTAGTGGTGATGATTAGTTTTTCCTAAGAATGAATTCATTATTTCCTTGAATAATTGATGGTCTTGGGCTTACTCTTCATCTAGAGAACACACACACACACACACACACACACACACATATGCACAGGCACCCCCTCTCTCTTCTGTTTAAGGCTTACTTTCTTTTTTAGAAAAATGCTGTATTCTGGGCTCAAAAAGCACCGCATTCTTCTCTTTTGGAACTTGCATAAATTTACATGTTAACATGAATGGTTGCAACTTAAAGAATGCTAAATAAAATGAAATTTGAATTTATATCCAAGATGAAGAAAAGACACATTGAAAAACAACAGATTTTCAATCTTGTTGATTTTTTTTCAGAAATCAGATTTAGGAAAGACATAAACACACCACACACACACACACACACACACACACTTGATTTAAAAGAAGGGCAGCTCTTAGTACTGCCAAGGAAGAAACACATACACACACACACACACACACACACACACACACACACACACACTGTATTAACAAATCACAGCAAATCCTTCACATGAGAAATATGCTCAGACGAACGTGCTCACCCTCACATTCCTTTTATGGAGGCCCACCCAGAAAAAAAAAAATGTACAGAACATCGTGTGTGTGATTCAAACAAATACAGGCATGAGTTTGCCTTTGCTGGCCCTAAGAACCAATTTCATCTTTATGCTTTGATTTCCCCAGTGCATTTTGAACACAGTGTGGCAGGCTGGTTCTAACTAGGCATATTAGAATTCCTGGTTTATCCACATTTATTGCCCGTGTGACTTCTGGCCACTGACATAATCTTTAGACATAACTTTTCTTCATGAGTTTTCCTTTACATACTTCTACTGGCCTCATAGTGGTGTTTGTGAGAATAGCATGTGATAATATTGTACACTTAGGATGGTAGCTAGTATGGAACAAGGACATAGGAAGGATTTAGCTGCTGGGCAGGGCTTTGTATGATGGTGGGTACTTAGGTAATGCTATCCACAGGAACCAGTCCTGAGGTGGTTTCTCTCTTCTCCAACCCACCCTCCCATTTTTTCCAGATAGTACCACAAGGAAAGTGATGGATCCAGTCTCTGTGACAACCTGTTCCCCAGGGGCTCTGGCTGTAGGATGATGGGAGACATCAAGCCCATTCTACCCTGACCCACAGTTACTCTTTCTCACAGCCTTCACTAAGGTCCTCCAAATAACATGACAATAGACATTAACAAATATCACAAGGAGCAATGCCCACAGCCTCTTACCTCATCATCCTCAGCCGAGTTCGCGTCCAATTTCTGGACAACCAACTTGCCACTCTCCTTTAACATTTTCTCTCGAACTTTGGTTTCATACTCTGGCCGGGAGTGTTCCTACACCAAAGATTCAGTAAACATAGTTAGTAAACAGGAAGAAGAATGACCTTGGCCTGTGGATTAGAACCAGACACCACAAGTACGTTAAATTGGGTTTAGACACTATTAGACATGAATTGCCACACAACACAATCACAAGGAGTCTATACCAAGAACACAATGTTGTGGGGAGAAAGGGAGCACAGGACACTTGTTATCACACTGAGAATCAAACCTGGGAACGTTCCTGGGGATGGCACCGGTGTTGAGAAAGCAGAGAGGAGACGTTAACTGGGCAGCTAATACAGTAAGAAGCTATGTGCTTTGCAGAACAGTTTGACAAAGGCAGAGACATTGCACCTGACCATCCCACCAGTTATCCTCAAGCCTCAAACTCACTTTCAAGGAGCCCAGTCCCTGCTAGAAAAACAGTTGTGTCCCACAGCTGGGACTTAGGGCAGCAATAGGACTGCTCTCTTATATTCTTCTTGGGCTAAAATTATATCCAGAAAACATCAAAGTCAAGATGGCCATAGGGGAATCTTAAAACTCACTTGCCCGGACCTGCTTACACAGTACAGGTAAGTGGCTAACTCATTGGCAAGTACATCAGTACACCAATGCTCAAGAGACATCACTGGGTCACTCTGCCATCCAAACCTGTACTGTGAATCACACCAGGCATGGGAAAGAGCACCTAACGAATCAAGAGGACCATGGACAAATCAAATCAAGGCAGGCCCAAGAAGACACATGGCTTTCTTCAAAGGGGACTTAGCAACATAGGTGCGGCCTTCCCCCCAGTGCCCAGCTCCAAAACAAATATCTACAGGTGCAAGGACTTCACGATCCTGCTCATTTACTGATGACCCGTAAGCACAGATTTGGGTGCTGCCTGACAGTGGACTCCACTGTTCACACAGCACACACCTCCTTGTCACTGCCCACATGTCAGAAACTCCAAAGGCCATCTTGCTAGACAACTGACTTGTCTCTAATTTTCTGAAGACAGGCTATGGCATTGGGAGAAACCACCCAAGTGGTTAAGGGCCATAACATATCACAGTGGGTGATGCGATTTAAGTGCTTTTTAAAATTTTATTTGTTACTTTTATTTTATGTGTATGAGTGTATTGCCTGCATGTATGTAAGTGCACCCATGTTGTGCAATGCCACAGAAGTCAGAAGAGGGCATCAGATTCCTCTGGAACTGGAGTTAAGGATGGTTCTAGTCACCATGTGGGTGCTGGGAATCCAACCTGGGTCTTCTGCAAGAGCAGTCAGTGCTCTTAACTGCTGAGCCTTCTCTCTAGCACCTTAAGTGCTTTTAAAGGCCCTCCATCATCACTTAATCATCAGGGTGCAAAGGTCCCTCTCCTTCCACGATTCCTTCTCTAACGGATGCAGTGAACAACCAGCCAGAGTCTTCTCCAAATTCCTGTAGTTTTATAGCTTACATCATACACTGTCACTACTTAAACATTTTTGCCTTTATTCCATGGCTGCTTTGCATGTGATAGTCTTGTCCTTTACAGAATGATTGGCTACCTGTTCTACATTCTTTTTCTGTTTCTTACAGTAACTGGCACCATGCAGAACACACAGAAAGAAGCAGGTGAAGTTCCTTCAGTTTGTCTTTTATCATGATCTATTCTCTAACACAGCATTTCCCAAGGTTTACTTCAAGGGAGTTTTAGCTTAAAAACAGATTCCCAGGCTCTAAAAGACTGAATAATAGTGCCCAAGAAATCACCCTTCTGAAACTCACAATGAACATACTGAAAGCTCTAGAAAGCACTGCTGTAAAGACACCTCCCTGATTTTCTTAAGAACAGCTTTTGACTAAAACAATTAACATCCTGCAGGAATACTTTGAGAAATGTGGGCCGGAAGTTCTCCACCATGGCTGCTGATATGTAGTTACTTTCTTCTACATTCTTCCAATGGAAGACGGTCATTAAAAAGCTGCATCAGGGGCTGGAGTGATGGCTCACCCATTAAGAGCACTGGCTGTTCTTGCAGAAGGCCCAGGTTCAAATCCCAGTACCCAGCACCCATATGGTGGCTAGCAACCAGGGGTCCAATGTCCTCTTCTGTCCCCCACGGGAATTGCATGATATGGGTACATCTAAACCACATGTCGGCATAACACTCATACATATAAAAAAAAATGTTTAACGCTGCATCTATACCCTCTTGTGAGTGTCGTAATGCAGTTTCTAAGCCTCTTCAAACCCCAGGAGTTTCTCTCCTCTTGTGTCCTGTAAAGGAACTAAGGGGGGAATCCCTCATCACACATACCCCTGCTTAGAGGTCCTTTTCAGGCACTGAGGCTGCAGTCTAGTTTAGTGGACAAGGCCTCTCCTTCCATGGAGCTTGTCTTTGCATAAAGGAGGGAACAAGAAGTAAACTGAGACTAGAAATAAAGATGGAAGAAATAAAAGTAGCTGAGAGAATCAGAGAAGGCCAATTTCCACTGACACGTAAAAGCCAAAAAGTAAAGGGCAGGTTACATGGGGATTGGGGGAAGTGTTGTATGCTATAGGAACAGTGAGTGCAAAGGCAGGGATGAGTGTGGGACATAATGTAGGCCCGAGGGGCTAGAAAGTCTCCATGAGGACAACGATAGGAGCTTAGGTCACAAAAACAAGTGATTCTGATTCCTCTACAATGGGAAGTCACTGAGGATATCTCAAGCTTGATGTGATAGGTGAGCAGTAGGAGAGAGCTAGATGGGCAGGACATCCATATTCCCCAGGAACACCTAGGACTTGATGAGACAGAAGCAATAGAGAACACTGAGCTGATGATCCTGCTTCAAAAGAAACCAATAGAGGCCTGGAAAGCCTCTTTGCAATGCATATATATGGGACCCAAAGGCATCCTTCAACATGTCCATTGGTAGAGTCTTTGTGGACACCACAGTGGCAGCTGCACTGGCCCAATAAGTTGGCTCCAGGGATTGGTTGCTTACCCATCTCTTTGCCCGCATAAGAAAGCAAACTCCAATCTTTGTCCATTTACCATCCCCTGCCCCAAGTTTATAAGTTGAGCTAGAGCTAGCTTGCTTATTCTGCATGTTGGGGACACCCTAAGTGTCCAAAGAAGGAGAACGGACTTTGGGTTCTATGTGTATCAGCTCTATTCTTTCCCCGAGCACATGAGTACTTTTTAGTGAATACCACAGGGAAAAATAACATCTTGAGGTTATAAACAGTTAGACTTAGGACTATTCCTGATGCCGGAAGAAAGCATTGGTCAAGATGTAAAATGCTTCATGGTCTTCTAGGATACCTCCCTTCCTCTTCCCAACCCAAGAAGCTTTCACCTCCATCCTCCCCCTCATTCGAATATAAGTTAAACCTACTTCAACATGCAATATTTGTATAAATCCTAGGACTCTTAAGTCACACATACCTTGCTTAGCTGTCCTTCATTCCTTCGCAGGGGACAGAGGTCAGCAGTCAGTGTCCACCCTCATCTGGCCACCAGATGGTCCCTGTTCCTTTATCCCTCACTGCTTCCTGATCCCTGTCTCATAGCAGGGTTTTCCAGCCATCTTACTGTTTCTAATCTAAACCCTTAGCTTCCCAGATCAGGTTGTGATTACTGATCCTTCTTGTGGGTAGAATTTTCTTTTTTAAAATATTTTATTTTTTAAATCATTTTATGTGTATGAGTGTATTGTCTGCATGTATATAAGTACACCCATGTCATGCAATGCCTGTGGAGGTCAGAAGAGAGTGTTGGATCCCCTGGAACTGGAGTTACAGACCATTGTTAGCCACCATGTGGGGGCTGGGAACTAACCCTGGGTCCTCTGCAAAGAGCTACCAGTGCTCTTAATTGTTGAGCCATCTCTCCAGTTCATGGATGGAATTCTTAACCATTTCTTACAACCTGATTTTTAAAAATATATTTCATCTTCCTACCTTAGCCAGAGGAAGTTTATCTTGCCTACTCTCCTCTCTATTCTAAATATTTACAGACCAAGCAGCACCCTGCTGAATGTAACCCTTTGTTTCTCAGAGACTATGCCTGAGGTAGTTCCATTTTCCATACCCAAGCCTGGTGAACGGTACATACATAATGCCTATGTTCAAAATTGAATGGAATGTTAAGGTGCACTTGATATCCTAGCCCAAAATAGGAATGCACTGTAGGCAAAGCTGAGCCTGACCTCCCTTCCTGTCACTTATGCTAACCCCAGGCTATGTGTATGCGGGGCACAGAATCAACCCTACACAGAAACCTCAGTAGAAACATTTCCTATGCTGCAGGCAAACCCAGCCTTGGCCAGGTCCCACTCAGCCTGCAGAGTTCCTCGATCATGTACCTCCGAGTAAGTTACCACAGCTCATTGGGTTGAACAGAAAAACAGGAAACTTAGTTATAGAAAAGTAAAGTGGATTCTGATCCACTCCTATCGGGCCTCGTGCAGGGATTTCAAGGACACTGACTGAGTCATAACTGATGCTTTTGTGTGTGCGAGTGTGTTTACACATCCTCTCAAACAGAGGTATGCTTGCGGGCTCCTTCAGCTCTACTTAGCAGGCTCGCTTAGGTTGTCTCTCACTCACAAAGGCTTCTTGCATGGCATGGTGGTTTTTTTTCTTCCCTTTCTTTGGAGACAGCCTAGCCTTTGGCATTAGGAGAGTGAGAAGTACTTATGCCAACCTCTCACACCCAACCACATCTTCCTTCCTTCCTTCCTTCCTTCCTTCCTTCCTTCCTTCCTTCCTTCCCTATTTCTCATCTATACCCTGATTTCAAACAGGATGAATAGGACAAATATGTCCCACTAGATCACCCATAGTCAAGCTAACTCCTACTTTCTTTTGGGAATACCATTTCGCTCATTTATCTCCAAGAAATGCAATTGTCTCTGTTATTCTTTGCTGTGTCTCTTCTTAACTAATCTGAATCTTCTATGATGGCAGAATCCATATGTGTAGTCTTTCATTTACCAGAGAGTCCATGATGGTTCTAGTCTCTGATTTGATGCTTAGCAAATAGGACTTTGGTAGGTTCATTTATTCACATGGACCATGGAATGGAGTGAGATAGAGCACAACCCATTGAAAACCCATTTTAGACAGGGAAAAGCTTTCTAAATAACGTATTATACATTAGAACATTTAGAACATGGCCTGGATTGGTAGATTCCATTCCATGAGCTGCCATACAGCCCCTGCAATTTCTTAATTTGTTGAGAAGATAATAGCATACTACAAAGTTGGCGAAACACCTTTCAAGATTAAATTGGAGATCTCATTTATTTTCTCCTAAAACATCAAAGCCACACAGCCCAGAGGTCCTTAGTCCCACCAAAGCATATCTCTCCAGCTACTCTAGGAGAGCGAGAAAGATTGATATCCAGCAGCCACTGCAACAGCCATGTCTTGCTTTGCACATGAGTATTCAGGCAGCTGAATGGCCCCTGGACCTTCCAGATACAATCCCTAGTCCTCGTCAACAATACCCACAGTTCCAGAAGTTGCTATCTGATTCTCACATTTGCCCTTCATACCAAAATACATAATATCAGTAGCCCTTGTGTGCTGTAATGCTCAACACAACAGAATTAAGACTGATTGCTTATTCTCAAAAGAACTGGAAGGGGAGACTTGTTCACATACCTTAAATATCACCTGCCCTCAGCTCATTTTCCCGTTTCATGCAGTGTACTGGATGACACCACAGTGATTCAGTGATCTTTCTTCTTCAGTCCTCAACAGCAACCTTCATCTAGTACTCTTGACCTTTTATAGACCCACAGGCATTCTGACATGCTCCAGCTCTTTGATTCATTTTCTCTGACTCCTTGATTTCAAGGTTACTTCTTGTTTATGACTCTTGTGTCATCTCCTCTTTCAGAGTATGCTCCTAAGATATCTGTTTGATCCAAAGCCCCTATAGCCACAGCTGGCCTGAAACTCACTATGTAGCCCAGGCTGGCTTCCATCTGACAGAGATCTGCCTGCCTCTGCTTCCTGAGTGCTGGGATTAAAGGCATGAGCCACCACTCCCGGCCAACTATGTCTTAATAGTTCAAAGAAAGAGGGAGTATCTGAACTTTTGCTCTTAGGGCTTATCAACCACAACCACTAAATGAAGGCACTATGAGGCATCCAGTGACTGTAGATGAGACAGCAAACTTTAAGTGATTATGTCACTTCAGATCATCTATTTTCAGTGTCAAAGTCAAGCAAGACCCCAGAGAAGTGCTCAAGAGAACTCACTTCCTCCTCTTCTATCCCAGTCAGGTCCCAGAAGTAGCCCAGCCGCATCTGTAGTCTCTTCCAGTTTTCCAGAAACATGGTGGCTTAAAAAGAAGAAAAAAATTGATTATTTTTAGAGTCAATTCTGAGTAGCTTTTGAGATACCACTTGCAGAACTCAAATTTAGGAGCTCTTCCCAAAGCATTTAGCCCTGGCTCCTACTTCAGGTAGAAACCTGAAGCTACTAGAAACATTCCACATCCTTGAGTCCCTATAGCATGCACAGTCACCTGTTACCTAACAAGGGAAAACCACTCCGAAAAATGTATCATTAAGCAATTTCTTCATCATACGAACATAATAGAATATTCTTATATAGACAGTTGTAAGATCACGAGGCAATATAATCTTAGCAGGCCACTGCTGTATATGGGGTCCTTTACCAATGGAAACATTATTATGTCACATGTGACTACACTAAAAGGACACATATAAATCTTTCCCCACTTCTAGATTATGAAAAAAAGGCGAACGCCGATCCCCCAAATTAAAAAAAAAATTTGGAAAGATGAAGAAAATAAAACGGAGGGATATTAGCATTTGGATCCAAGATGTCCCCTGAAAGTCATGAACTAAAGGCTTGGCTGTTAGCTGATGGGCTTTGAGGACGTGATTGGATCAAGAAGGCTCAGATCTCATCAGTGAATCAACCAATTGGTGGGTTTATAATTTTATGTGGTATCGGATGGTGATAGAAACTTAAGAGAAGGGACTTAGTTGAAGGGAATCAGCTCCTGGGTTGTGGCTACAGGGACTTCATCTTGTCTCCAGCCCTCTCTGCCTTCTCTCTCTCTTTGTTCAACTCAGGCACAGCATAAGGAAGCAAAAGCTCTGTGTTGGTTGAATGTTGGCTGGATGGCTTCAGTCACCTGGGTAGAGGGAGCTTCAATTGAGGAATTTCCTCCACTGGATTGACCTGTGGGGCATTTTCTTGATTGTTGAGTGATGTGGGAGGGCCCAGCCCCAGCCCACTGTGGGCCATGCCACACCTGAGCAGATAGTCTCACCGAAGAGTCTTGTGTTGTATAAGAAGGCAAGCAGAGCATGGGCCAGGGGAGCAAGTCAGTAAGCAGCGTTCCTTCACGGTCTGTGCTTTGGCTCCTGACTCCAAGTTCCTACCCTGTGTTCCTGCCTTGGATTTCCTCAGTGATGAACTGTGACCCTTTCTTCCCCCAGTTAGTTTTGGTTAATGTTTTTTTCAAAGCAATAGAAAGTAACTAGAACAAATGAGCAGCTACTTAAAGCTACATTTACAGCTTCATCGTGCTGCACTGAGGCATAGGGTTTTCTCCCTTGCATTTGAAGCTTTGTTTCCTGACTTCCTGACACTGACATTGGCCTAGAGATGCTGCAGTCTCAGAGGAAAGTCCTTCTTTATCCTGTTACACTTTACAGTGCCTGAAGAGGATATGCACACAGCAGGACTCAGAGCTCCTATCCAGGCTTTCCATGGGAGAAGGAAGACTGTGGCCATGCAGAAGAGAAGCAAAGGAGTGTTGGGCAGAGTGTCATGAGGGTGAGGGAGCTGTTCTCATTTGCTTTCTATTGCTGCAACAAAAACACTCACCAAAACTGATGGGGAGGATAGGGCCTATTGCACCGTACTCTTCTGAGTGTCAGTCATCCAGGGAAGCCAACACAGGAATTTAAGCAGGGCAGGAATCTGGAGGCAGGAGCTGAAGCAGAGATCAAGGAGGAATGCTGCTTCCTGGCTTGCTCCTCTGGCCTGTGCCCAGTCTGCTTTCTTATGCAACCTAGGCCACCTACCGAGGGGTGGCACTGCCCACAATGTACTGTCCCCTGACAACATCAACCAACAATAAAGAAAATGCTTCACAGACATGGCCACAGACAAAGCCAATGGAAGAAATGCCTCAATTGAGGTTCCCTCTTCTTCCCCGTTGGGTCAAGTTGACAACTGAAGCGCTCCAGCACAGAAGGCCACTATATTCAGTTCACTTCCTGAGGGTGGCATCTATGTGCAAGGTTAAGCAATCTGTTCTGCACACATTCCTCATTCATTGTTGCAGGAATACTACAGCAAAGAATATTTAACCAAATATATCGATGAAGACACGGTCCTTAAGCACTATACCCAAAGTAAGGCACTTTTAGCACCTCGGCTAAAAGCATTGACTTTAGAGAATATTTAATAAACATGGACAGAGCTAGGTAGGTCTGTATTTTCTTGCTATTGGATCATAGCTGGAAAGGAACAGAATTGTGAAGACTTTGAAGACTGCCTGATCCAAATTATTCAGCATGATGAGGCCCCATCTCTTTATTTGTCTTTGTCACTAGGACTTTATTTAAAGTTTAAAGTCAGATCTGCAGTGTGGGCCTGAAGATTCTGACAGACTTGGATCTGCTGACTAGTGTGTTCATGAACCAGGTACCAACAAGCCTCATCCTTACTGCCACCAAGGGCTCACGTCTCCCTCCACACAGGATCGCTTCTTCCAAGCCTATTCCTAGCTTGCCTGGGCCACCCGACACAGTACCACTAATCATAATAATCATGGAAATGAGAGGCATTACTATAGTTTTTAATTGTAATTTGGAGGTAATCATGCCTAGGGCTCTTGGCTGCTATAACTAAATATATAATCACATAAAACACAGCAAGGCTGTTAACAAAAAGATGAAAGAAAGAAAGAAAGAAAGAAAGAAAGAAAGAAAGAAAGAAAGAAAGAAAGAAAGAAAGAAAGAAAGAAAGAAGAAAGAAAGAACCCTGTCCTATACCAGGAAGGCCTGATGCAACCCCACCCTATGTATTTTCTTACTTTCTTGGGTTGGGGTTGTAAATTAAGGGGGCATAAAACTATCAACTCTGTTTATCATGGCTATAGAGCACAGGCAAGGGGCAGTTGTTAAGACCTGAAACTGAAACACAGCTAAAAACCTTGCCTCTCTACAAGAGATGACGTATCCCAGAAAAGTTCATGGGAGACCATGCTTTAGCTACTAGATGGCAGTAATATCTACAAGACAAATGAATAGAAATTAGGGTTGTAACATATTCAGTAACGAGTATGTGATCTGGGTTCTAAATTGGCTCAAGTGGCTTTCAGGATAATTACAAGATGTTATGTTTGATGAAGGGATACAGAGATGCCCATGGCTTCCTGAGTGGCCTTTATCTTTACTTTGTTCTGACTCTGACAAGTCCAGAGCTACAAGACGACAAGGTTCCATTCCCTCTGATTTGCTGCTACCATTGAAAGGTGTCCCAGGTGCTCCCCTGAGAACAGAAACTGGAGTGCCCTCTGGAGGCTTCCGTGGAGATCAAGCAATGCAGGAATCTTTCCAGAAAGCTTTGACTCAGCCCAAGAGGAGGGTTCCACAGGGAGAAGTCTATATTCTTGTTTTCTGGGTACTACTGAGATTATACTTCACTTTTTCTCTCCCTTCCTCCCCACCTCCTTCTCTTTCTTCCCCTCCTCCTCCTCTTCCTCCTCCTCCTCTTCCTCCTCCTCCTCCTCTACCTCCTCCTCCTCCTCTTCCTTCTCCTCCTCCTCCTCTTCCTTCTCCTGTTCCTCCTCCTCAGCTTTTTAGGGATACATCACTCAGGGCCCCATCCTGGCAGATCCTCAGGCCCTGCAGAGGTGAAGATAAATCAAACAGCAGGATCAGAGCCCTGCTGGACTGCAATCCAGTGGGACAGCCCAGGCTCTGCACATTCACTGATGAGTAAAAACCAGGTGGTTACTCAAATGGCCTGAAACATGTTGACTGGGTCCCTTATTAAATACACACGGGTGTGTCATTTCAAAATTATTCAGTTACCATGGGGGAGGGCAGACATTTCCAGTTTGTGAGAATAAATGTGTGTGTTTGTGTGTGTGTGTGTGTGTGTGTGTGTGCGTGCGTGCGCGTGTGTGTGTGTGTGGTCTGATAAGTAATGCAGAGCAGTTTGCTACCCTGATACTCCAGAGAGAATGTAGGAAGTGGAACATGAAGGAACTCTTTGTTCTTCCCTTCACAAATCCCTTTGGTGAGAATATTGAAAACACCAGTTTTGCAATAAATAAAATTTCCACGGTCTAACTCATGGGGTACTGAAAATAGCACTGATACTGGAGTCCGTGGACCAGATTTTGGCTCACCTTAAAACCAGCTAACTCTAACCACAGTAGCACACCAGCATTCTGAGTCTCACACTGCACAGTATCTATGGTTTTACATGACTAAGGAAATGTGCCTGAGTGCCTTGCGGGTTGCCAGTGCTTTTTAGAAGATGTATTGGTTCAAATTCTATATAAGTCATACACAAGACCACTGTGGAGTTAGCATTACTGTCTCTAAGAGAAAGTAGATAGAGTGTGAAGGATATTCCTATTTCTTTTCACATATATTTAACACAGAAGAGGTAGGTATTATATCTAAAATCCCCCTTTGGGTGTAAAGAAAATATGTTGAAATAAATAAATTGAAGGCTACAAATAAATTGAAGTCTGGTTACTGTGCCCACTGAAGGCATGTCCCCGTATGAGCAGACGCTGTGATGACCACTTACCCCACAGAGCCATGAAGATTGAGAAGAACACCGTAGCAGGATTGTCAAACAGGTGGCTGGCCCGCGCAGTCCCACAGGCTGAACTGAGGTTCCAGTAGTCACAGGACTTGTCACACAGGGGACACATGGTAAAGGCATTATGCTGGTCACACATCTCTTTGCTGCAGTAGACAGAGGCTGCTGGGTCAGGAGTGTGCTCAACCAGGAGTTACGATAGGCAAATCACCCCCAATACAAAGACTATTTCCAAATCCATAGTTGAATTTATCAACCCTGTAAGCAATGCCAACACTGAGATTTGATTCTTTTTGACATTTTATTTATTATTTTTATTTTATATGTGTGAGTGCATTGCCTGCTTGTATATAAGTGCATTGTATCATGCAATGCTCATGGAGGTCAGAAGAGGAAGTTAGATTCCCCTGGAACTGGAGTTACAGATGATTGCTAGACACCATGTGGGTACTGGGAATTGAACCAGGGTCCTCTGCAAGAGTAGTCAGTACTCTTAACCACTGAGTCATCTCTCCAGCCCTGGAATTTGACTCTTTACCTTGAGAGTATTAACTTATATTTTATCAAACAAAAACAACAACGAATGAATGAGCCATCTTCTGAGGTAGGCAGCTCCCGGTTACTACTACTAATTCCCCAGAAAGCTGATGACTGTCTTTCAAAGTGTAGCCTGGGAAAGTACAGGCTGTCTTCTCAAACCCTACTGGCTGTCTTACAAATGTGTGACCCTGGTAGGACCAAACATGACCAGCTGGACGAGTACAAGCTCTGATCTCTAAGAGAAGCATGGGAGGAAGGATGCTCAGAACTGGGCTGGGAGTCTCCGTAAGCCATTTTTGGAATGGAAATTCAAAACCTAAGCCCACTAAGAATTAGCACAACCACAAAAAAGAAAGATTAGGAAGAATGAAAAAGGAAAAAGAAGGCAAATTCTTCCAAGGCCTAGATTCTCTCACACTCAGAAAAAGAAACATGAGCCAAATGGTTCCAGTGGTCTGTGTTCTAACCCATTCCAAATACATTTCTATTTAACAGACTGACGAATACATTCACAATTCATTAAGTGAATTGCCAGAACCAATAAATTAAGACTCATATGTAAGAACCAAAGAATTACCAGCCCTGGATGACTTCCCTAATATCCCTCCATACCATATGCTGATGAATAAACTCATTGCTCTCGTGTGCAATATTCCCTCTACAGAAATAGGTAAACTCATGGTTGAGGGGAAAGGGTGGAGAGCTCAGGATTTCATGGGAATGAGACACTGGCCATTCCCCACAGAGCAGTTGGAACCACAGTGCTTGGAGACAGGGGAACCTGCCTGCAAACAACTGATGCATTTGCTACAGAAAGAGGCAGCAGAGGGAGCTGAAGAGCACAGCAGATTAGGGCAAGGCCACTACCCCAAGAGTATTCCAGTGCCCTAAGTGTGAAGAAAGAGCTTCCAAAAAACCCAGAGGATAAGAAATACCTGTCTACTTCCCTTCACAACTCAGTTGAAGAGTGGGAGATTTACTGGAGACTGTCACTTTCTGTCAAGTCCCAGCTTTCTAGACTTCTGTTTGCAATGAGCTATGAAGTCCCCAGCAGGGAAAGGCCTTCTTTGTGAGAAAATGGAAAGTCCAAGCCTCTGAAGAGAAATCTTCCTGCCTTTCCTCACTCACCACTAAGCTCTCCATTGACAATTGTCAATAAAAATGATGCTCACCTCAAAAATATTACATGGCAATATCTCAACACTGTGTTTAGCTGTACTGATTCTGTTTGGTCATGTTCTTATTGAAAACCAGGAAATAGAGTTAATTTCAATCATTTGGACCAGAGAAACCATCACTATGTGATCAGAAGAAACTGCAACTTTCAGAGAAGAAATTAAATTTATCCAGAAAATTCTTTGTCTGTGCTAATTCAAGCAAAGAGAATTGCTTTTAAGCCATGTCTGAGAACATATGAGTTCCTTGATGCTGCCCCTCATTTATATATATATATATATGTATATATATGTATGTATGTATATGTATATATGAGGGATTTCACTCTGTTCAGAGCTTTTGCTTGTTTTCATACACACACACACACACATACACACACACACACACACACACACACACACAACACACACTGAGATACATCCCACTCAATCCAATCTTATTTAAATGTAGTCAAGCCTAAAGGTGAGGAATTGGGGAAAAAAATTATCATTAGCAACCAACACAGTGCAAAGTACTTTGAAATATAGGTACCATGTCAATTATTATTTTTTAAATTAAAGTGTAGGCATCTGTCAATTGTTTGTACAAAACAGTAGCATGGATTCTTCTCAAATCACTTAAATTTGAAGTCAGAATGCTTGGTGTGTACTGGGAGTCTTGAGACAAGCAATTTTAACAGATTTTTGGAGAAACTCTACCTCAGAGCAACTTTTAAATGACTGCATGCCCTGAGAGAGACTGCATCTGGACAAGCTGCAAGATAAGGGAAGCCACGCAGGATGGAAATCACATCTGAGTTATTCACCTACTTCACACAAAACATCCAGATTTCTAGTGAGAAGTAATTGTGGCTATAAATCTAATGGTATATTTCTCCAATCTATCAATTTTTCTAGAAAGCTTAAAAAGGTTGATAAAGAGCCCGACAATCAGTTGACTCGAGAGTAAACGAGAGTAAAGTAAATGAGAGTCTTCGGAGCACAGTTATGAGCTGCAAGGCTCCCTAGCACAGAGCTGGACGGTACAGAGAGGCCATCACTCAGGAAATCCAGACAAAACATCTGCTCTTATGGCCTCAGACCTGAAGTGACCAACTTTTTTTTCAATATGGTTTAAATTAATCAGCTTTCCCCAATGTCTTAGTCAGTCTTCCCCATCCCTTCAAGTAAGTACTGAACAAAGGAAACCAATTTCTTGGGAAGTGACATATATAGATGCACTATAAGTATGTAGAATTATCACCTAGAAACTTACATACATATCTATCATATCAAACTTACTGAGGAATAAAAAGCACTAAAATGGCCCGTGATCAGGATGAGTTTTCTGGCTTTGAACCTGTGCTAGAGATGCAGAAAACATAGACATTGAGGTGAACTGAGCGGAGAATGCACCAAGCTCCACTAGCAAGTTCCTAGGAATCTATGATTTTAAAAATTAAAATATTTCCAAAAATGAAACAATAAATTCAGGCTTGATACCAAAGATGGAAATTTCCAAAATAATGTCCCAGAGAATGCAAGTTTTTATACCAGACCATAATAGAGTAAAACTAGAAAATCAACAGCAAGAGGAACTACGGAAGTTATATAAATACAGAGATTGAAAGTATATTTTTGAACAATCTGAAGGTTACTGAAGAAATCAGGGGGAACTTTAAAAATTCTTCTAATCAACAAAAATGGGAAAAATGTCCTGGAGAACCTGTTATATAAGAAAAACAATACTGATAGAGAAGTTTATAACTACGTCTGCCTACAATTTAAATACATACACACACACACACACATACACATATGTATATATGAGCCAGGTATGGTGGCACATACCTTTAATCTCAGAACTTGGGAGGCAGAGGCAAGCAGATCTCTGTGAGATCAAGGCCAGCCTGATCAGAGAGTTCTAGACAAGCTGAGGCTCCTATCTCAAAAAAACCCAGAAAGAAAGAAAAAAAAAACAGATAAACCTTAAATAAATAATATAATAATCAACTTCAAGGCCTTAGAAAAATAGGAAAAAAAATCAAACCCAAAATCATTGGTAGGAAAGAACTGATAAAGCTCAGAGAAGAAACAAACGGAATGCAGGCTCAAAGCTCAGTAGGAAAAAAGAGCTGGCTCTTCGCAAAAATAAAATCAACAAACCCTTAGCCAGAATAAACAAAAGGAAGAGAAAAAAGATCCAAATAATTTAAATTACAGATGAAAGAATATATTACACCATTGAATTACACAGGTTCATTAGAGGATATGTTGAAAAATTGTATCCCAATAAATTAGAAACTTTAGGAAAATGAACAAATTTCTAGACACATTCAACTGCACCTACCATAAATTAACCAAGACTATACAAATAATCTATATACTAACAATGGCACTGAAACAGTGATAAAGAGTTTCCCAAAAGTCCAAGTCTGCATGAATCCAATACTGGATTTTACCAGACATTTAAAAATTAAAACCAATGTCCTCAAATTATTCCATCCAATAAAGAGAGTAAGAACATATTCAAATTCATTCTTCAAAGCCAGTTGGCTGAACCTGGGGAAACCAGCCTTTTACCTAGGAAGGTTAAGGCAAGAAGATCACAAGTTCAAAGCTACCCCAGGGGGGTACATGGTGAGACCATATCTCAAAATGGTAATGAAAAGTAAAAAGAGGAAAGAGGACTGGGCATATAGCTTGGACTTCAGAGCACCTGCCTAGAATGTGTGAGGTCTTTGTTCCATCTCTAGTAGCCACTCTCCAAAAGCAAGTATTATTCTACCCAAAAGAGAAAAGAACACAGCAACAACAAAACCATACAAACCAATTTCCTTAATGTACCTAGATGCAAAAACCCTCAATAAAATAAGAGGTGCAAATTCAACAACACATAAAGTAGACATTGTAGTGGCACCTTTAATCCCAGTACTTGGGAAGTGGGAGCAGGAGATTAGGAGCTCAAGGTCATCTTCAGCTACATTAGGATCTTGAGGTCAGCCTGGGCTGAGACCTTGTCTCCAAAAAAAAAAAAAAAAAAAATAGGGGAAATACTTCAAGATACTGACTCAAGCTACAATTTCCTGAATAAGAGCCTGATACTTCAGAAAATAAAAGAACTGACACATGCAGTTGCATCAAATTAAAAATCTTTTTTTTTTTTGTCTTTTTGAGACAGGGTCTCCCGGTAGTCCCAGCTCACCTGAACTCACAGCAATCTGCCTGCCTCTGCCTCCCGAGTGCTGGGACTAAAGGTTTGAACAATGAGAGAATTAATCAGCTGAGTAAAAGACAACCTACAGAATGAGAGAAAATATCTGTCAGCTATTCATCTGAGAGAGGATTAATATTCAGAATGTATAAAACAGTCAAGAACTTGAATACCAAAGAAATAATCAATCAATAGACTAACAATATGGACACTTTCAAATGAAACACAAACAGTCAAT